GTGTGTGTTGTGTGTGTTGTGTGTGTTGTGTGTGTTGTGTGTGTTGTGTGTGTTGTGTGTGTTGTGTGTGTTGTGTGTGTGTTGTGTGTGTTGTGTTTGTGTGTGTTGTGTGTGTTGTGTGTGTTGTGGGTGTTGTGGGTGTTGTGTGTGTTGTGTGTGTTGTGGGTGTTGTGTGTGTTGTGTGTGTTGTGTGTGTTGTGTGTGTGTGTGTGTGTTGTGTGTGTTGTGTGTGTGTGTGTTGTGTGTGTTGTGTGTGTGTTTGGTGTGTTTGGTGTGTGTTGTGTGTGTTTGTGTGTGTTTTGTGGTTTGTGTGGTGTGGTGTGTTTGGTGTTGTGTGTGTGTTTGTGTGGTGTGGTTTGGGGGTTGTGTGTTTGTGTGTGTTGGTGGTGGGTTGTGTTGGTGTTTGTGGGGTGCTTTGTGTGTTTGTGTTGTGTGTGTGTGTGTTTGTGTTGTGCGTGTGTGTGTTTGTGTTGTGTGTGTGTGTGTGTGTGTGTGTGTTTGTGTTGTGTGTGTGTGTGTTTGAGTTGTGTGTGGTTGTGTTGTGTGTGTTTGTGTTGTGTGTGTTTGTGTTGTGTGTGTTTGTGTTGTGTGTGTTTGTGTTGTGTGTGTTTGTGTTGTGTGTGTTTGTGTTGTGTGTGTTTGTGTTGTGTGTGTTTGTGTTGTGTGTGTGTGTTTGTGTTGTGTGTGTTTGTGTTGTGTGTGTTTGTGTGTGTTGTGTTGTGTTGTGTTGTGTTGTGTTGTGTTGTGTTGTGTTGTGTTGTGTTGTGTTGTGTTGTGTTGTGTTGTGTTGTGTTGTGTTGTGTTGTGTTGTGTTGTGTGTGTGTTGTGTTGTGTGTGTGTTGTGTTGTGTTGTGTTGTGTTGTGTTGTGTTGTGTTGTGTTGTGTTGTGTTGTGTTGTGTTGTGTTGTGTTGTGTTGTGTTGTGTGTGTGTGTGTGTGTTGTGTGTGTGTGTGTGTGTGTGTGTGTGTGTGTGTGTGTTTGTGTGTGTGTGTGTGTGTGTGTGTGTGTTGTGTGTTTGTGTGTTTGTGTGTTTGTGTGTTTGTGTGTTTGTGTGTTTGTGTGTTTGTGTGTTTGTGTGTTTGTGTGTTTGTGTGTTTGTGTGTTTGTGTGTTTGTGTGTTTGTGTGTTTGTGTGTTTGTGTGTTTGTGTGTGTGCGTACATGTGTGTGTGTCTCACGCATGCATGATACGTTTGCTTGCGGACATCCGTATCAGCTTCAATGCAATGGAGCGCATGGCCAGAAACAGAATGCAGTCCGACATGGTAAGACGGATCCAAAATGTTGGCGGGGACTGGCCTGGAGCTCTTTCAGTGTCTTTCAGTGAATACTAGTGAAGATACTTGAATCTTAGCAAGTGGGTGCGCAAACTAAACCAACAATTCGCAGAGCCATGAATGTTGGCATTGGTGTTAAAGTAACCCGAACAAAGCGCTGAACAGAGTACACTACTACCTCAGCCCGAAGGTGGGTCGAATTCTTTAGAGTTATACAAACAAACAAAAGGGTGCCCTTGGAGTTCTGAGTCAACTTAGAAAACAGTGATTCTGCTTCAGGTTTGTGCCCTCTTTAAGCGGGAACCCCCGATAAAAGACCAGGACGCCGGCTTGAGGAACAAGCAACCTGTTTGCGGGTCCGGTGAGCTCCTCTTTACAGACAAGTTGTTCTTGTTTATTAATATTTCGGATGCCGCGCCTTGAACACATGCCATCCAACGCAAAACACTCTGGGGTGGGGCGGTGGCCCCTTTCATAATCCGGAGGCAGAGAGGAACTCGTGAAAAGGAACAGGGGCCCGCCCGTTGGGGGGGGGGGGGGGGGGGGGTGCAGGGGCGTGGGGATAAACAACAACAAGGGTGCATCGTTACAGGCTTGTCGCAAAAGCACCACCTAGCGAGCTAGCCCTAAATTGCCAAGAGCATAATTAACCCGAAACTCCAACGACAAAACATTCCACTTCTGACCCATTGAACAATCCTGAATGAAGCAATCTCTGGGCTAGGCCGTCTGGCAATGTAGCCCTCGAAAACCTTCGAAGTGGGAAGGAGATCATCGATCAGGATCCTGGAAGCTGTGGGTGTGAGGGCGAGGGCGGCAGTAGATGCAAAGGTGAGCCGTTTGCGCAGCGCAGGCATGTTGTAAGAATCGAAGCTCAAGCCGCAATCTCAAGCCTATCCTAAGCCTGTGCTCCGGCTTGTTGCATTCTACCAGCTGCTGTCATACGTGTGCAGAACTGGAGCCCACTAGCCCAGATAGCATCAACTCAAATCAACTGCTGGGGTTCAGAAAGTTAGGGCTCATGGTGGCGCCTCAGCGCCGAAGCCTGAAGAGTTAGGACTTTGGGTTTCAAGGTTTGCAAGTAGCTACATTGCAGTAAGAACACCCTTCAATTGTCGCTAAAGCCACTTCAAATCCTACAGGCATTGCAAGATATCCAGGCCTGAGCAAAGCTTTTGTAGTAATTTTGTATAGCTTATCTTCCATGTTATGATCTGTAGAGTTTGTCGACCCATCCTCCGCCAGCTCCCTGCATGATGAAGACGCAGGAGGTAGGCACCATTCGGATTGAACTCCTGGCACTCTGAGACTTCTTTTTTCAGGGGCAAGGATGCCAGGGCCAAAGCATGTCGCGGAACTTCAGTCAGCAATGATGACGAAACGTCGCGCTAATGCTGCCGAATCTGTTGCTTGCCGGAATCACCAGCGACGTCGCGAAGTTGCAAGACAGTGGAACGGGAGTGGCAGCGTGCCACGATATTGAAGACTTATGAAAAGCTGGCGACATCGCGATGCTTCAAAGCATCTCATGGCCATTGGCAGCAGCACAAAATCTCACGAAGCCTGACAGGATCCACACAATTGCAAACGTCATAGGGCTGATGCTCTTGTTAACACGAACAGTTGAAAGCATCGGCAGCGTTACCAAGTTGCTCTAAAGCTTCTCCCCCAGTCCGATTAGGGGATCACCCTCCAGTCTGGGCTCCTTCGTTTCGAACAAGTCCTCCACAAGCTTTGGGCAGGTAGCAACGACCTCAGCATGGTTGCAACAAATCGGTTGTTGCGGCTGGTGTTTGTTGTTGCTGTTGCTGTTTGCTGCTCGCTGTTTGCTGCTCGCTGTTTGCTGCTCGCTGCTTGCTGCTTGCTGCTTGCTGTTTGCTGTTTGCTGTTTGCTGTTTGCTGTTTGCTGTTTGCTGTTTGCTGTCTGCTGTCTGCTGTCTGCTGTCTGCTGTCTGCTGTCTGCTGTCTGCTGTCTGCTGTCTGCTGTCTGCTGTCTGCTGTCTGCTGTCTGCTGTCTGCTGTCTGCTCCTGCTCCTGTTCCTTTTCTTGTTGTCACTGTTGGTGGTGGTGGGCATCTCGGTGCCTGGGGGCAGGGCAGTTCACATTTGTGGACCGAAGCAAAGACAAAACGTCAACAACAAGAGGTGTGCCAGCACACACGCACGCCAGATGCTTCTTCGCAACCTGCGCTGTGCCGCAGCCAAGAAGCACATTTGCCACTTAAGCCCCTGTGCCCTCACCTCAATCCAATGAACCCGTCCCCAAACCATCGGCAAAGCACTGCTGTGAACTGTACTCATGTCTGAATATGTACTCCTCCTTCTGCACAGTACTCTTCACCCAGAACCTTGAACCCTCAGCCCCTGAAGGCCCGGCGCTCAGTGCCCCTGCAAACCAGCAATTGCCCAGGCCTCCCTGGCAAACGTCCTTTCAAGGCTTCACGGGATTTTGTGTTTAGGGCTGAGGCTTTGCGGTTGGCGTCTTGTTCGTCTTGTTCGGTATAGGGTCTAAAGCTGTTTCAGGGCTTCAGGGTGCTTCGTCGCTAGTGACGCGCCAGGCTTTAAAGGGTTTTCAGCCGTGCGTTCTGAAACGTTGGAAACCTGCGCATCAGATCTTAAGAGTTCATCTTTGCTTGAGGCCTTGGGGTGTCGAAGCTTCGGTTTTTTACATGAACAGATCTCTGCTGCCGGATTTGCCTTACAGCCTTGCAGCTGCTTTCAGCTAGTTTGCGCCGAAACCAAGATTTTAAGTAAGCACCAAATCGTTGACCACAAAGGTTTTTGGGAAGTAATTGAACACACCGCAAACCAGAAACTGCTATCTGCAACTGAATCCGAAGCATGCTTGGGGACCTGAAGCTCCGAAGCCTCAGCCCCGAAACCCCACATTCTAAAGTCTTCTTCCTCCTGGCCTATTTGAGAAAAACACATGCAAATCAAACTATGTACGTCGATCACCCACCCTGCAGCTACCTGATGTGGGAGCCATCGCAATTACGAACGGCTTTTGTCGCGAGAATCTCCGCGGAATTCTTTGAGGGTGGGCACTCCGGGGTGCCTCGGCGCGCTCTCTGCGGGCATCTGCAGTTGGGCACTCCAGGCATACTTGGCAAAACTTTCTGCGGGCCAGGGATACTCGGAGATTCTCTGTACGATTTATTGTCAGCCTGTTAGCCGTAGTTGTTGCTTCCCCCCCTGCTGCACCTCTGCCAGTCACCCTGGATGCTGACATCATCGCGGAGCTCACGGAGTTAAACACGGTTGGCGTAGTGAAGTATTTCTGAAGGCATTCACGACTTTGCACGACCGTGTCAATCCAAGGCAACAAAGCCCAGCAGGAAGGCAATGATCTCTCGGAACACACCGCAGCAAAGAAGGAGCCGTTTAGCATCAACGGCCGCTCGTCAAGCCCTGCCATACTCGAGAAACATGCCTCACCATCCTGACGAAGCTCACCATCAGGGAACGCTTGGCTGCCCTGCCGAGACATCCCACAAGGCAGCCAAGGCATGGCGACACTCAGCCCGGCCAGGTGACTAATAGAAAGCACGGCGGAATGCAATTCTGTCCCAGCAGTCTTCTGTTGTTGAGGCGTCATCCACGGATCAAGGTGAAAGAGTCGACCTTGTCACAACAAAAGGCAGCAAGAGGGTCGGCATAGCAAGACCTACCTTGCCCGAGCAATCAAGGCCTGCAAACTGCTTTGGCTCACTTCATGACAAGCGCATTGTGCCAGATTGTGCCAAACTGGAAGAAACCGTAGAGCTGGACCTCCAGACAAAGAACATTCGCAGGTCTCCCTGTGGGAGACGTCCGGCATCAAACAGTTGGCCGAGAGGAGCATCGGTTTAGGGTATTCAGAAAGAACAACACAATTCCCTGTGCCACTCTTTCAAAGTCGCAAGAAAGCGAACATCACCCTGAGGAATGCCCTGAAGCTCACAAGGAATCTTCAACATAAATAAAACATGTCATCGAGACATTACCAGGTGAATTTATTCTCACGGTACGGCCACATTTGGGTCCAGGGACAAGTCCCCAAATAAGACCTTGCACAGGCTTTTGGGTTGAGCATCAGGAGTTCAAGTCCTCCGCTCTGGACTCGCCCCGGATGAGCTTCCACGGCGCTCCGACAGTGGTGTTGGACCTGAAGCTCCAGCAGGCCAACTGATGCAAGACTAGGAAAGCACATGGCAAACAAGACTGCTTTTGCAAAGGACTGCAGTGACTACAGCTTGAAGCAAGATTACCCCAAGAGCAGCAATTCAAGTGAGCACTTGTAGCCCTGGCCCCTCAGAAACTCCGCAGCAGAAACCTCGAACCTGGCGTCAAAGGTGCAGCACTTGCAGTTGTCTGAAGAGCCCTCGGAGCAACTAGTCCACAAGCCATAACCCGCCCAGGGGAATCCTACTAGAATCAAGCTTAGTCCGAGCGCTCAAGCGAATGACATGCCCGCTGGTTGTCAAACTTTTGAGGCTTTGGCATTCTCCGAGTTTAAGGGCAAACAGCTCCATGAACTCGGGCATGTGCTTGGGTAAGACCACAAGCGGGGGGTGGTGTTGGAGCTTGGAAAAGACCACAAGCTGGGCGATTGACATGGAATCGCGCAAGAAGTGTGGACAAAGACGTGGGATCAATTCCTGAAGCTGCAGATGGGGAGCTCAACATTGCTATGCGTGGGCGGGTCTAGAATGACTTCAAACTGGGAACTACAGCGCAAACCCCAAAGCTCGATTGATGTGTTCACGCATTCGAAGAGACCAAGTTCAATCAGCCTGCCAACCTAAAGATATGGGCTAAAAAGCGGTTGGGCGGCAAACCCAAGCACCTCCCATCCTTTACCCCGCCCCCACTCCTTGCCGGTCGGCAAGTGGCTGTACAGCAGATCGCACCTAGCAGTTCCCAGTCACGCCCAACAAGAACTTACTTCCACCCACAAGACCCCGTGACCACTTGCACAGGGAGGAAATAGGGCGTCTCGCAACAAAGACGCAACTTCTAGAACCCAACCCTGAAAGTTATTGCCGGGTTGCAAGCCGAACGCTGGGACGCAAAGCTGCAATGTGGGACATTGTGATCGCATCAAACGTTGCATCTGATCAACTTAGCAATTCGGCAGGCTCCAGATCCTTGTCCAAACATTTCTTCAGGACCCCATACTAAACCAGCATCGTTACAAAAAAAGCAGACCAGCTTTGCATCACCAAATGTGAAGAAGGTGCTGAATCAGTTCGAGGTTCAGCGGTCACGTGTTCGGGATCAAGGGATGATTGGGGCACACCCTTTGCAGCTATATAGAGCTTTCTAGATTTATCAACAGATGTATTTACTTGTTGCTTTAAAGTTTAAAGGTGCCCAGGCATTAGTTTCCACGCGGCCATGGGCAATGCAACCTAGGCTCTACAGTACCATTACCATGTTGCTGTCTTCTTTACTAAACAACACAGCTCCAGTATCTTGAATTACACGCCGAGGCACCCCAATCCGAAGACCATTCGCTGAGGCTCGAATCTGTAGAACTACGAATCTCAACGAAAACGGTGGACATCAGCAAGGCCCGAAATCGATAGCACTTTCAGCACTTGCGATACTCTTGCGATCACCTGCCTGACAATTCACAAGAGCATCCGAAAGCTAGCGAGGAGCGCCCCGGACAATGCTCTGCGGGTCTCAGCCACTGTGTTGGGCGCGTGAAGTACTGCACCTGGCAAGCGTTTCCAGATGGCTGTAGGCTGTACTGTCATTGTAGGGTTTGAGGACTCAAAGCCTGCTTTTGTTTTGGGCTGCTTTCTAGATGTATCTATCCCTATGAGCTTAAGCTTCTCACCTGCCTTTGATAGACTTCAGAACTTCAGCGCTGAAAAACCTACGACAAGCAGGCACACAGAAAGAAGTTGTTTTCAAGTATCGCTCATGCCTGGATTCTGCCACGTAACAACATCGCCTCTTTAAGATGAGGATTTGGGACCTGGGATTCACGTTGAGGTGCATGAGCCCGAGGTTCTGGATTCTACGACGGCTCTAGCTAAGCACAAGCAAAGCTACCAAACACACTGTATTTGGAGATTTGGAGATCGAATGAGAGGATTCACGCTTTCGAATAGGCTGGTTTGGATCAGAAGCATGAACACCGGGACTGACACTGTTGTAACTTTTCTGCTCAGAAGTGCAAAGAATGCCGGCCACACCCGTACTACATGAGGAGCTGGAGCCTCGCTGGGGGAAAGGGTTGAAACCTTCACCCGCCTAAACCCTGGCCTTCGAGCCCCTTTTAAACCTTCTAGGACTTGGTCAAGCTCCAGTGGGTTGCTGCCCCGATGACAGATGTTAACGATTGACACGTGAAGCATGCAGACATATGTAAACTGGTCTAACGTTCGAACCTATATTCCGTTGCCCCAGGTTCGCCCATATGTGTGACTGCGCAAAGTACGCTTCAGATGGTTCATTTATCAATCTTACCTCGGGACGCAAGGACACAAACACCCCAGACCATCTGTTGGAACCCACGCCGATGCCCCTGATACCCTCAAGTCCCCACCTAATTTCGAACACAAGCATCACGTTGACCAGGCACAAGTCTCTAAGAGCACCACACCCTTTCCCAAAAATGGGGCTCGGGCGCCGCAGTTTATGCATTTTACCTCGCATTTTGGGGTCGGAAAGCGGGGGCCTGTCTTCTGCGGGCCATTCGAAAGTGTTCATCGATTACTATTCCTGATCTCGGACCCCAAGACCTACAGTCCTACAGTAG